AGTCTGCTGTATCTGTCGGGCTGCTTCTGTTTTTGATCGAATATATTGTGTTAATTAGTCAACAGAGAATCGCTGCAACTTTAGAAACGCCCAACCCAATCGTGCAATAGTGGTAAAAATGGGTGAATAATGTGCTTGGCCGGCAGTACTTTGTACTGGGCGGATGTTGGTAAAGAAAGTAATTTACCCTATTTTGATCAGAATTAACGGATAGCTTGCGGTTCCGGCTGTTATTCAACCAATCCCAAATGAAAAATTTATCCATGGATAAAAAAGCTTGCAAGCTTACAACAATTCTGAACTTATTCTAACCTATTCTACTATAATGCCTTTTTATGCTAAATGAAGATCTTATCTACCCACTATGTTTTGAAATAACGCTGGTCGTGCTTAAAGAAAGAGCTGCAGTTCTCTTAACTCAGCACCCATATGGGTGCTGAAGTAACGCTAGTGTGTGCTTAATATGTCCTGTGAGGGCTGCAACAACGCTGATAAGCAAATACAGTAGGTTCTGATTTACTGAAAATGCCTAGAAAAAGAACAGGTTGCTGAATTAGTGCCACATGCTGAAAACTAGTCTGTGCTGTTGAAGAATCCATTTCAGGACAAATTTGGAATTTACTCACTATAGAATGTTAGAATAATTTCAGATTTAAATCAGGGGTTTACTGAAGATTGATTGTCGCATCTCCCCTAAATTTCTGCGTTAGGTTGCCCCAGAATTGCTCCCAGTTCTGCCACCATTAAACAGATGTTCTCCTATGATTTAACCACTGTATTCCATTATTTAACAACTACTTGCCAATTTTAACCATTATTTATGCAATATTTTCTCATTTCGGCTGTTATTAAACCGAGATTCACCCGTTATATTACTATTTTCCTTATTAGGATAGGTCACTGAAAATGAGAAAGGTTGTGTAATAAGACATGTTTCTGAAGTTCCCAAAATTCTGGAAATGGTCCAACAGTCCCCTATTTTAAAGCAGGCTGCAACCTTTTTAGATTTTCCGTTTGAATGTCATTCCTTGAAATTGTATGTCTAACCACCTAGCTTCGTTTAACGCTTGTTAATTCCGATTAAATATATTAGACTGCTAATCTATATGATTGATGTTTACTTTAAAGAGGCATAGTGTTTCGCAAAAAGAGTGCAGTAAATTTAATCTTCAATTTTTATCTACTTAAATCTGTGCCATATATGGCACCTTCACAGGGATTCCCAGTTATGTTCTTTTTACATTTAATTTATTTGTTGTTAGCAAGCCTATGTAAATCCTAGATTTGTACGCAAATAACTACGCCTATACTTGTGTAAACTACATTAATTGCAAGGTAACGTGAGAATCTTCAACTGGGCTTCATGGTTTTTTAGAATAATACGATAAGTTAAGGCGAGGGGTGACTACTGGTCAGTGTGACCTGGAGTCTTCAGCTTTTGGTTATGGTCTTGTCGTAGTTAACAAACAGAACACGTAGACTTCACTGCAAGACTAGAAATCACTCCTCAAATTCTGGTTTTGGTGTAGTTGGATCTGACTTCCTTTCAAACTAATTTTAACCCCGTTAGCAAAAAAAGGCGGGTAGATAGTAGTAACGTGGGTCACAGAGTTTCACGAAATCATAGATTGGCTTGCATGTTCCTTTTTTCAATTCACCAAATTCTGGCAATATGGTCAGATGATTTCAGCCTTCACAGCATTATGGTACAACAGTTAGTTGGTAGGTGATTAGATACCTCGTCTACTACAAAAATGTCACAATTTAGCAAAACAAACGAACTACTTTGTCTCCACCAAGGTTTAATTAGTTACCAACTCACAAGGATTTATGTAGCTTCTCTTTTGAGTGAAATAATCGATGAATCTACCACAGTGTCCAAGCTTTATACTTATATCAATCAATGAATCTATTATCTCCATATTCTTAGACTTTACGGAATACTCCTTTAGTATTACGATCAGCTTATGATTATATTTTTATAAAATTAACTGTTAATATAGTACCAGAATACTGTTCACAATTTGTGAGTCAAATTGCTTAAATGATCGAAATAGTTGTCAAATAGTATTGAAGACTCATCAGCAGTATCAACTGTTACCTGGTGGCGAGCCCCAGTAAATTTGTTGATAAATCCTGATAGACTTCTGTGTCTTAACGTGTTACACTCCTGTTATACTACGGTCGTCGTTGTTGTTGTTGTTGTTGCTGTTTGAAATCGCTCCACCGAACAGGTTTTTCATGTTCTCAGCTCTGAGGTACACTTATTATATTGGCGTTGATGATACTACTCAGGTGCCTGTCTGAAGTGAAGTGTGGTACGAGTTCGGGACCTCCTGGCCTAAAATTGAGCGCTTAAGCCAATGAGCCACTTTTCCATATGGTTCTCGCAAGCCAATTATAATCTATTCTTTGAGTTACATGACTTCACCAAATTTTTACGCTATTCTAGTGTCAGATAATGCGTATGTATGTACCACATGACTGATAGATTATTTGTTTGTCTCAATTTTTATCTTGAAGAATGAATTCTAGGAAGTTTTGCTATTTATTCCTCATTTTATTGAAAAATTTCACACTGATCCTCACTAAAGTGGTTGGGTGAATGAAAACGTCTGGCACTTGCAACTGGACTCACTGACATACTGGTCTACGTAGGGGGAGCCAGGAGGCCCTATGGTATACATGGGCTGAAGAATCCGAACGGATCGAGTGGTGTGTGCATCCGTTTTGGTTACTGGCATCCATGAGAATTTAGCTCCTGGCTCTGCTGCACTACATTCTGGATCAGACTTCTTGTCAAAGGCTTATGGAGTGATAACGCCTTAAGATAATCACCTCCGACTTGGGCGTCCGAGTAGTAGTATCCCAACCACTGCGCATCTTTTAGTCCCCATAATGTGCCCAGTTTGTGTTTTTATGACATAGTAACAGTTTCTTTTAATAGTTTTGTAGCGAACCCACAGATTATTTGGGCAAATTGTGATCTTTAGATACAATACTTGTTTCGCCTTTGCACATCACTTCACACTAAACACAGGATTGCACTGTTTACTAGTCTTTTGTGTGGAATGCTACACATTTCATCTTGATACAATTTTATGTATTGTTTCAATGATGTTTCTTTATTTTTTCAGATATTTTGTGTTGACTTGGTGAGATTCCTGTGCAGCAGTCCTGTCTACTGCTGTTAAAAGCCTATACATTTAATGCATACAAGGTGACAGCTGGAAATACACAGAAAAATGGTAGAGATTAATGACGGTCGCCATTTCAAAAACCCTTATGATGATTATATTTCAGAAAATCAACTACAAGTATTTCGATTGGTATAATGGTGTAAAACTAATTTCCAGGTGGAAAACACAAATATTCCAAGGAAATTCATTGAATTATTGCATGTGTTAAATTCTAAGTACGAGAAACTATCCTCTTCTGATATATCCATGTACACGGGGTTATCAGGTAAGTAACACAACACGTCTGAAACTGCCAAATATTTGTGTTTTGATGTTAAAAAGTTTTACTGTCCTCGGTTGACAATTCAAATTATAAGCAGTTTGTTACCGTCGTTGTTGACTTATTGATTTTTCCAAATCGTCGAAAATCAGGACACTAGACAGAAAAGAACAAAAAGTTCAGCAAAGGTATATCTTCGGCGATTTTATTCCCAAAAGCTGTAAAATCGCATTTATGTACATAAGTTGAACCAGTACTTCCTCTAGCAATTTAGCTTGCCTACAGTCAGTTTCAACCGACTGAACATCCAACACACCTCCCTGAATTGGATATAATCACCGGTCCTAACAAAAGCTGTCACTAATCCGGAACGAGGCAAAGCAGTGGGACCTGATGGAATGATTCCAGAGGTGTTTAAAGACGGTGAAGACAGTTTACTGTTTGCATCAACTATGGTGTTAGGCAGCGTTCGGGAATCGGAAATAGTCCCGTCGGTCTGGTGTTGGTCATTGATTATCCTGATATACAACAAGGGAGACAAGTCTTCCTGTGATACTCATAGGGGGATTAGCTTCACCAATGCGGTATCTTAAGTTCTAGGCTTGGTAATCATACGTAGACTAAGTGGTGCTCGGGAGGAACAAACATGGGAGAACCACGTTGGCTTTAGACCAGGAAGAGGGGTATTGATCATACCTTCACCCCTCGACAGATTCTGGAACATAGATATACTTACCGGCATCCAACAGTCGTCATATTTCTTGACTTGAAGGCGGCGTTCAATTCCGTTGACCGAGGGGTCCTATGGCGATGTTTGGCTGTGAAGGGAATGCCGGGAAAATACATTGCACTGATCAAATCACTCACTCTACTCGAACTCTTGCATTCAGCTAGGTGAGAGAGAGACCTACGGAGAGTTGTTATCTGAAGTCGTGACAACCAGTGGTGTCCCTCAGGGATGCCCACTGTCCCCATTTCTGTTGAATTTCATCATATATATACTAATGGACTTAACATTCAGCGACCCAGGGATTGACTTGCTAATCTCGGGGAATAATCTCGTTGACTTAGAATATGCAGATGATATAGTCCTTCCTCTTAGGTGAAGACGCTGACAAAATAGAGCAGAGTCTTCCGAACACCTTGAGGAGCAGCAGTCATCGAATGTTTGGCATGCGATTCGCTCCTGCTGTTAAATGATAGATGATGCTACAGGACTGGACTACATCAACTACGCCTGGCTTAAACATAAGGAGTGAAGCAGTTGATGGAGCGTTTTGACGACTTGACTTATTTGGGAAGTTGCATCAGCCCCAACGGATTGATCGCTGACGAAATTTGAGCACAGATACAGAAGGCTCGTTTGGCGTATACCGACTTACTCCATCTCTGGCATAGACATGATATCCAGCTGGCTGTCGAACAAAGGGCCTGTATACTGCCCAGCAGTTCACTTCGTGCTCCTTTATGTCTGGCTGTGAGACCTGGCCATTGAAAGTGGAAGACATGAAATGGCTAGCTGTCTTTGAGCATAGGTACCTGCGTTCTATCTCCTATGTTCGATGGTATAATAGGGTGAGCAGTATTGCGGTTGGGAGTCGGTCGAGTGCTAGGTCAGGAAGGGAAATCAATTGACGAGTTTGTCGAGTTATAGAGATTGAGATGGTTAGGACTTGTGTCGTGCATGCCTAATCATCGATCGCCTTCCTCTACCGCCGATGTTAGCTGACATAAGATCAGGTTAAAAAGAGCTAGTGGCATTAGTCAATGAAATCCACAAAAGGTAGTTTGAGCCAGCCACGTAGGGAGGTGTAGACTGCTGTATGGTTGGGATCGTCGGGATGGTAAAACCTCAATGCCTGAAGACAATTGGTGATATGGCCCAAAATCGTTCTAAATGGCTGGTGCAGATGCATTCACTCTTTGTGATTTGTCATATCGAATGAAACTATTGTTCTTCCATATTACTATTCTTTTTGCCTCTCTATTTTGAATCTCTGTTTACTCTCTTCTCTTACTTTTTGTGGTACATGGAATGTGGCAACTGGAACTGCTGCATACCTGTGCAAAGTTGTACATTGAAAGCAGTCAGTCAGTTACTGCCTTCTGTTTGCAGCCATGCTGGGTAATGTTCTCCAACACGTTTTGATGGAACCCGCATAGAACGACCTATGTACCTAGTTCCTCACTAGCAGGTGAACTGATATACGCACATTGAAGTGGTCATATGTGGAAGTTTGTCCTTCACATTGCTTATAGACGCAGTGGGCGGTTAGAGTTTATCACTCTTAGAGTTGCTGCAAGAAAGGTCTTCCTTAGGGAACTGGAGATTGTCCTCTTAAGGATATCTGCATTTAAGTTCTGATTCAAATATAATGTGTGCTTTTTGTACTGAAGTGGATTCTTCTCTTTTTGGCTTTGGTGTCATTTTCTTCTCCACGAGATCTGTCAGGTATCCAATTTGAGCCATGATATTTTTGAGGAATAAAATCTCTTCTTCTAAGCGGTCATTGCTGCAAATTCTTCTGATACAATGGGCCAGTGAGCTGTTGAAAGCTATTCTTTGACTGACAGAAATCCAACGATAGAAGTTTGTCAGTCGGCTATTCTGTGATGGTTTTATGTGGACAGATCTTTTCGGAGTTCCATTATCTCTTCTTGTCAATTCAACCTTCAGGAATGGAATCTTTGATTCATTTTCTACTTCTAATGTGAACTTGATTGAAGGGTGATATTTGTTAAACTTCTGTAAGATACAATTCAAATCAGAATCATCATGACAGAATATAAAAGCGTCGTCGGCTTACCTTTTGTACAACAGCAATTTGTCTGTTGTTCTGTTGTTGATTTTAAGATCCCATTTTCCAAACTGTCCATAAAGCAGTCTGCCAAAAGTGGACTAAAAGGAGAAATCATGACAACCCCATCTTTCTGTCTGTAGATATCGTCATTGAAGATAAATTGTACATTAAACTTATGTACATATGTATGTATGTATGTAAACATATATATACGTGCGTCAGTGGCACAGAGCTTAGGACTCTCACCGACCATGTAAATGGTCCGGGGTTCGATCCCTTACCGACGCACACCTGGTCGGCCAGCAAAATTTGAGCTACCGATATTACATGCTGAAAATTCCATACTTGTACCGAAAACACGGTGTGAAATCAAGCTATAATCAAAAAATAAATAAATCCTTACGATTGTACAGCTTTTGCAAATGAAATCGCCGAAAAGATTATCTTTACTGAACTTCTTTCCGACCGAAAGCTGCTACCTTGACGTGGTGGTAGGGCTTGAACACCGCAATGACCCTACAAGCTATACTGGCTGAGACTTATGTCGCTTGAGGTCCTACCATGCCAGAAAGGTTGTTTGGATAGCGGTTAGACAAAAAGCAGTTACCCAACCCTATGCTATGACTCAAAGTAAATCACAAAATATCATGCCGGATCGGTCGGGGCCCGAATTAACAACGACCGCGCTTCCTGCTGCCGTGTCACAGGGCAGAAGTGATAAATATGCTACTGAGACACACCAAACAACAAAAAACAACAATCAAAAACAGGCCGCATGTGACCGGCCTCAAGCAGTTGTCCCCTGGGCTCTGCGGTCACGCAACCAACTTCCACGGTGTGGGCAGCCGGGAAGTAACAACCGCCCACACACTTCCGAAAGCACACGAAGCCTTCCTGAGCATCACTCTCCCTTACTCACATCACCTTCCTCATCTTGCTTCTCTACTACAGTTAGCACTATTCTGCAGACTAGTGAGTCATCTCCACTTCACTCTGTGTCCACAAACAAAGGTGAGAGCCATAGAAACACCCCAGATAGCTGAACTTCTTGTTCTCTTCTGTCTTACGGATTTTTGTTGAGTCAGTTGATTTAAATGCAGCGGTTTTTCTTGTTGTTTTGCTATGCAATCACGAATATAATTAGGCAATCTTTCACATTTTATCCTTTATCAGGTATTGGACTATTCTACAATTATTTATCACAATCAAAAAGTAAACTCATCGATAGAAAAATACGTGAAGATGCTGTTCAACATGCTGACAGGCTGTTACATCGTTGTCTGCGTCATCTTGATGCTAAAAAGTTATCTAAGAATATCAGTGTTTTCACTGGACCTATCGGTGCATTATGCTTAGGTGTACTGTGCACTTCAGCTCAAAGTGTCGATGCAAAACGATACTCGGAACAAATTCTATCCGCCAGTAATTATGCTGCTTTAGATTTGCATTCTGATATGCCTGATGAAGCCCTGTATGGAAGAACAGGTTATTTGAACTGTCTGCTAACTTTGAAAGAGTACAGTAATTTTGATATACCCAATACTACGATTTCATTGGTATGTATTTTTAAATCGACATATATATATATATACAATCTCTTTTCTTAGGTATAGATTTTGTTTTTATAAATTAGAGCAGGTAATAAGCAAGTTTATTATTGTCATTTTGCTCTACGGATCAGAGACTTGCACTGCGCGTCATAAAGAGCATCCCAAACAAACTACAGACCTTCATTAACAGTTGTCTTCGCTCATTACTCAAGATCAGATGGCCGGCCAGAAAAGATCAGCAACAGAGATCTCTGGCAATGAGTGAACCAACCAGGAACCGATTGTGAAACAAATAGGCAGGAATAAATGGAGATGGATTGGCTGGCCATACTCTGAGGAAACCATCAAGTGACATCACTAGACAAGTCATTGCTCGAGTGGAACCCGAAAGGGAAGCGGCGAGTTGATCGTCAGTGCAAGGGTGACTTGGAGGAGGTCATGTGAAGAGGAGATGAAAACGTGTGGGCAGACTTGGAGCCAGATGAAGACTCTAGCAGAGAACCGAACGCAATGGAGTTGCACGGCTGAAGCCCTATGTTCCTCTAGGAATTAAAGGAAACAATAATAATAATAATTGTCATTTTGCTAGAGTTATTTTGTAGGTATTTGATATATCTCAGAGACCGTTGAAAACCGGTAGGGTGTGCTGGACATCCGTTTCGCCTTGGTTTGGAACTCTGCAGCAGTACTCACCCACAAACCTGGGGCCCTCAGGTTACAAGGTCAAGGTCGTTGACCATTCAGCCATTTAGGCTGGAGTTCAATAACCAGTGAATTCTAACCATCTCAAGTAATGGCGATCTAGTATATCATTATTATTATTCCCTAAGGTTTTGAGTGGAAGTGTGAGAGACTGTGAGCTCTACCACATCGCCACTTCATTCTGTTTTCCACAGTCCGTTTTAGCTGGCTCCACGATTCTCCGTAGGCTTTCATCTCCCTCGTACACGATCTTCTCCATGTCACACTCTGACTTACGCTCAACTTGTTGTTCCCCGTTTGAATTGGACTAGAATGTCTGATGTCTCCTCAGCTCATATCCAATCCATCTCTATTTCTCTTAGCATCTTTTGGGTGCCAATAGGCTCTCGATATGTAAGTTTTTGCTATTTCGATATTTGAATAAGATCCATCCATCATTTTGTCAAGTTTGATTGTGGATTGATATCAGTTAGGGGACTTGAAAACCGAGGAGTACTAGACAACTGTTTCGTTGCAGTTTGGAACTCTCTAGCAGTGCGCACTCACCAACCGAGTTTTGAACCCACGACCTTCCGGTTACGAGGTTAGCTCACAGACTATTCAGCCATGGGGACCCGACTCATCAGTGGCCAGCTCATGGATTCCAACTTCTACCAATTCGTGATGAGTTTAGCACGTCTGGTACCAGCCATTGTCCATTGTTGGTGAGTATTTGTCTTCATTCCCAACCGGGTGGGGAACCTCACTGGTCACGACTTCTCACCAGAACTGCAGTCAACTTCGTTCGGCGACCAGTCATTAGCGAGAATCAGATTAATTTTCAAGGGTTTCAAGTTTGATGATGGATTGATATCAGTTAGGAAACCATTGATGATGAGGATCTCAGTCCCGAATGGGCGGAACGGTTGACCAGTCGTGTATCTGATTATACTACTTTTTTGATTGAGATGAGTAGTACTGCTTGCGAGCCAGACCTAAGTGATGTGAACACCGAATGGCTGTTTCATTTGTTGGGAACTCAGGTCATCAACGGTGTGTCTGTGTGTGTGTCGTTGGTCCAACTGTGGAATACTCGCCAACCACACTGCACACGTGGTCTGAGGTCCGGTCCCCGGCCCACATGGCACTTCTTAACCTCTCTTAGCCCGGTAGTAAGCCTGGTAAACAGGGAAAGTTCGATGTAAAGCCAGCCACCTCACCCTGTAGAAAATAACACCACTTCGTTTGAAACTTCAAACTAGGCCGGTTCGAACTGATTAAGCTCTCTGAACTGGGTCAAACTGGGCACACGGTTGATAAGCTCAGCCTCTAGACCAACAAAATAACTGTCCATTTTTTCTGGATAGCAGTAAGCATTGCTCGCTAGTGGTGTGAGTGATGTCCAGCTACTTATATTAGTCAATGAGTAGTATTTAGCTTTCTTGATTATTATTTATGATATCAAGCAGGTTATATACATTGTGATTTAGTTAAAATTTCATTCCGCACATTGTTATTGTTATTATAGTATTTTGTCGCTACTTAAAAAGTGCTAACACGCATAATTTTTCATATATAGGTAGTTAATGCCATCTTACAATCTGGTCAGAGTACAGCTAATACTTACAAATCCAATGGTTATTATGATTCTTTAATTCGGCATTCTTCCAAACGAAGCTTACCAATGCCACCGTTAATGTTTGAATGGCATGAAAAATGTTATCTTGGTGGGGCGCATGGTTTTGCTGGTATTTTAACTACTCTCTTAAAGGTGGGTAAGTAAGTTAGTTATGCGCAGTTCCATGATGGATAAAAATTTTATTTTATGATAAAGTGTTACACAGTGTGTTTGTTATACAGTAATATTTACTGATGACCACGTTTCGAGCACAATTGATTGCTGCTCATAATCATATCAAGGCAATACTCTTGTGGTGAGTGCTACTTATAATCCGATATAAGTAGTATATCAGAAAGAGAATCCAGAAAAGTAACAATATGTTTTGCTGTCTGGATTCAACATAGAACTTGGCACAGAAGTGCAGAACTTCGAGTTGCCACTTTCCAAATAGCACACAAAGGTAGACAAGAAAATGAGTGAAGAGAATCAATAGACTTTTGACAAGTATAAGAGTGAAACAGAATGAATAATGGTAGAAAGGAATATGAAAGATTACAGAGACTGAATACATCTGCGTAAGGCATTGACAACGATTTTGAGCCATGTCACCTATTGTCTCCATCCATTGATTCTTAGAGTCCCGTGGGCCCCAGCCCGGAAGTCAATTAGCTATATTTACCGAAAACCATTAGTAGTCGATTATTGCGTAATAGGGGTGTGATATTTTTTTTGTATTCTTTTACTTTCCCAACGGAACATATGTCTTCAAGATAGAGGCCTGAAGTTTCGGTAGCAGTGGTGTTTATTTTTACTGGAGGATGGTGTTGCTAGCCTCATGTCTAAACTTCCTTCCTTCCTTACCAATCTTATTACTAACTTGGGGAGATAAAGGAGTGTGTCAGCCGGGGACCGAACTCCCGACCACATACGTGATTGGCTAGCATTCTACCGCTGTCTCACCGACGAGGGGTGTGATTATAATTGACTCAACTGCTCAGAGATGGTTCTCAAGCGCAAAATATTACGTAATAACCATTGATACAATGTAATAAAGTTTTAAGTTTGGTAAGGTGAAGATTGTTATTGAATGGGAAGTGAGGTAGGTAGTTCAGTGTCCACTTGACAAATGTGTGTTAAGAGGGTCAGGAAATATACAAAAGAAACACGTGAAAGTGATAATAGTGAAAATAAAAGCGAACGATCAAGAAAGAGATAAAGAACCACGAAAAAAATAAGATACTGAACAAACTTTTTCTTTGTATGAAGTTCAGGGTTACAGCGAGGATTCACCAGCGCTTCAGCTATACAGAAGTACTGAATCCTAATACCCTTTGTACCATTTGGTTTCACATTACTGATGATACTATCTGGTCGTCAATATTGGAGGGACTCGAACCCAGGACCTGTAGACTGATAATTGAGTGGTTAATGCAATGAGACACATTTGAAGACATTTATCACGTATTCTTGGGGTTTTTTGTTGTTGCACTATTGATTTCTACTTCCGTTATTGTAGTTACTGCTTATATGCTAGGAAGACTGAGTAGTGATCATCGCTTCGTCGATGCTTTTGGGTATTACTTCTTTTCCTGTGAATTTCTGTCTCTTGGAGATGTTTGTTTTTCTTATTGTGCGCTTTTCCCAACGATCTTTTTCCTTCACGTTCCCCAGTGGAACATAGGGCCTCAAGCTAGTGGCTTGAAGTTTCTGTAGCATTGTTTATTTTACAGGATGGGGTTGCTAGCTTCATGCCCAACCTTTCCTCTTTACCAGCATTATTTCTGGCTCAGTGAGGTAAAGGAGTGCGTCGACCGGGGATCGAAACCCGGACAATGTGCATGGTCAGCGAGCGTCCTAACGGCTATACCACCGACGCTATCAGTAGTAAAGGCGTATTCCGCTTTCATTAAATCATACGTCTTATAATGCTAACAAAACATCCAGTTAGCCAACCGATAAGCGTCGAGTGCTTTGGGATGTCTTTCGCTGCAGGATAACTGCGAGTTATAATTATTGAATATGAAGCATTAAATACGGGGGCAAATTTTTTACCTCTATTATCTTCATATCATCGCCTATGATTTTCTTGGAATCCTCCTTTTAGGTGAAAGTGGGATATGTTACTTAGTGAAGCAAATAAACCTCCATCTCAGGGACTACTAGGTGGTGTATACGTTACCTGTGAATACTCACCATTTATCTATCCGCAGCTTCCTAGCTAAGCTAGCTAGTTTGGGAGCATAATAGAAGAAAGTGAAGCGCTGTCATTTTTAGATATACCACTAATCAATCCTTGGAACAGTTTAATTGTCGTCGAGACAGTGTGCAATTTGTGTTTTCAAGGCTCATATGACAACTCAAGATGATGATGTCGTTCATCATCGATTACAGTCTTACAGTAACATCTATACTTTATTCTTATATTTCTTTATTTTCTGTGTTGTAACTCCCCGTTCTACTGTTCATATTCTATTTTTAACATGTGTTAAATGTGTTAGTTCAGAGAACTCCAAGTCGTTGTAATGTATTCTTTATTGCAGAAAGTCCCGACTGATAGCTACTACCTTGACGTGGTTGTTGGGTTTACATATCCTAATTACCCAAAGAGCTACACTGATTAAATACTGATGTTCCTGCAGGTCTTACCATGCCAGAAAGGTCGTTTGGTTAACAGTTAGACTAAAAATAGTCGGCTTCATCGTGTAAGTTATTTACACTATATTGAGGGTTTGTCGGTGAAGTCTTACTGCTGGCTGATAGGGATGTAACAGCAATAAAAATGTTCCCATCAGATGACAAGCATACCCTACTCTGCTGTGGATAGGAGAGTTTAAGAAAGCTCAACTCCGAAAATTATACATCCTGACTTACTTAGTGGTGGCCTGTGGCTGATAGCTTAAAATTCCACTCCAGACAGGCATTATGTTACTGACGTGAAGCTGTTTTCCTCTGAAATCTGTGGTTACTCAACACGAATGCCTCTTTCTGTTGCAGTTACGTCAAGAAGTCAGTGTTTGTGGGCAGTATGTATGTTTTCGAATAGGAGAGATAGTAGATGTAGTACTCCTGCTAAAATTCACTGATAAATTTAAAATTACATGCATAATTTACTGTTATGAATTAATAACACTTTTTCGTTACTTGTATTTACACAATGAATTACCGTAATTCTAAAAATCTTGTTTTTCTATGTAGGTTTATAAACTGTTTCCCGGTGTAATATCCCCAGATACTTTAAATCAATTAATTTTACCTACTGTTGAATGGATGGGACAACTTCAATTGCCGAGTGGAAATTGGCCTTCAAGTCTGGGGGATAGTATAAGTCGGGATGTATTAGTTCATTGGTGTCATGGTGCAACCGGTGTAATCCCACTTATGCTATCAGCCTATAAGGTAAGGCAAGTTTGTTACAATGACTTCGATTTTTGATAGACTTTTGAAGAGGGCATACAGATGAACATCTTACCCTGTATCAAGGAATGGTTGGTTAACTGAATGTATGAGTCATAGAATTACTAAAGCTGTCTTCACCATATTATTTTATGTTTTCATAACGCGACTATCCAGTCCATTTTTGTGATGTATGCACGCTTTATTGCTGGTTGCTGCTACCCTCTTATTCCCACTGGAAAAGTACTGTTGTTTGAAGTTTCTAGTTACGTAGTTAGAATTCTCAAAGTTAGTTAAATTCCGGTCTTAACGAGAGAATAGTCGAAGAGCTGGCATCGTAACTGCAAGGTCCAGTCTTCGGTGATGGTGGTGTCGTGGGTCCTGACCGACAGCTGCTACCTTGACGTGTGGTCGCGGTTGCATATCTGAATGACGCAAACAATCTAAACTGGCTGGAACTAATGTTCGTACAGGTCCTAGCATGCCAGGAAGATTGTTAGGATAGCGATTCGACGAAAAACAGTTGCCGGCATAGTGTAAGACTTTTTTTACACTATGCTCGGGGAGGGGGCTGTGGTCAGAATCGTTCTGCTGAGGAATGGGGATGTAACAGCAGTAGGGTGTTTCCCTCAAGTAACCCGCACGCCAACTATGCTATATCTCCACTCTGCAGTGAGGAAAGGTCGACCCCAGAAATTGTACATCCCGAATTACCCTACGGTGGTTCGTAGCCGGCGGTAAGTTACTAATACATAAGCAAATCAAAAAGCCAGTTCATACAGGCCATGTGTAACCGGCCTAAAGCAGTTGTCCTCTCGGTTGTGCGGTCACGCAGCACTGATTCTCTTCCTTTTTCCGGTACCCCAAGAATAAATCAATTATCCACGGTGTAGGAAGCTGGGAAGTAGCAGTCGTCCTCACACTTCCAAAAGCACACGAGGCCCCCTTGATCATCCTATCGTGGTTGCTCTCTGCTGAAGAGTAACCCGAAACTAGGGCGAAATATCGGTCCACTGCTCCCTGGTTTTTAAGGCTTCTTAGCTTATGGTGGTTTGTGACGAGATCTTATTTTATAATGTGCATAGGTATTTTCTAAAATAAATAGGAATAATTATAATTCCATTAGCTTAGTTTTTGTCAAGTATTCGAATTCACTTAATGTGATCATATGTGAAGACAGAAATACGTCAAACCAATAGGAAGACTCTATGTGATCTGAACTTTACGGATGTTGTTAATGTCGAATGTCATACAAACTCGAAGATCTGCAAGAACTACAGCGCCTTCTTCCAAGTATGAGCTAGGAAGATTTAAAAGTATCCTAATCGATTCCTACCACCAGTTTAAGAACAAAAAAAACATCCTGTCAACAGCCTACTCACACAAAGAAACACCGAGAGGCATTACGTGACCTCAGAAAGAATAAAAATCTGATAATAACTAGACCTGATAAAGGATCTGGTCTAACGCTCGAGCGCCATCCATTTTCAGGGTTGGTTGATTCGGCAGGTGAGTTGTTACACACTCCTTAGCGGTTTCCGACTTCCATGGTCACCGTCCTGCTGTCTGGACCAACCAACACCTTTTGTGGTATCTCATGAGCGTCGCGTTAGGCACTTTAACCTCACGTTTGGTTCATCCCACAGCGCCAAAAATGGCCCACTTGGCGCTCACATTCAATGCAAAACTCCATTTAAGCGAGTTAAGCTTCTCACCCATTTAAAGTTTGAGAATAGTTTGAGGATGCTTTCTCCCCAATGCCTCTAATCATTCGCTTTACCGGATAAAACTGTTTATATCTCAGAATGCCAGCTATCCTGAGGGACACTTAGGAGGGAGCCAGCTACTAAATGGTTCGATTAGTCTTTCGCCCTTATACTCACGTTATACGATCGATTTGCACGTCAGAATCGCTACGGTCCTGCACCAGAGTTCCCTCTGGCTTCAACCTTCGCAAGCATAGTTCACCATAATTTGATTCTTAAATCGATGCTTGACGAGTTAAAACCCTCAGGCACATACACACACACACACCAAGACTTTAAGGTTCACATAAAGTCCACAAGCCTGGAGTATGTCCTATCCTAGAGTATGTGTCAGTCTCTGTCATTCTGTAGCAAAGTGGTTGCTATAGGCTCTAGAACCGTTACATCGTGAATTAGTGAAATTCAGTGTAAAAGATGTATTTAGGCTTGTAGAAATTGCCAAAAGCCTAAACGTAAAAGGAAAGAAAATGATGTCACTAGATGTGTAGCATTATTATTCATCAACGTCCCATTGTTCGAAACAGTCAACCACTTATGTGACTAACTGACCAAAATGGAAGATGGATGTAGGAATCCCCCCCCCTGAAAAAATCAAAGAATTACTATTGATTTGCACGATGAATGTCCAGTTTATGTTCAGCAATGATTTTTATAGACAAGTTGATGGTGTTGCCATGGCCTCACCCCTGGGACTTATGCTAAAGGATATTTTCCTGGCAAAGCTCGAAATTGGTCCATTCAAATACACGATTAAAGGGTTTGACTATTATTGTCGATACGTAGGTGATACCTTCATCGTTTGTGATAGAAATCTTAATAAACAAGAGCTTCTAAATGCTGTTAAGTCATAATGTTCACCCAGCTGTTGAGTCTGCATCTGAGGAAGAAAGAAATAACAGTATACCTTTCCTAGACGTCCTCCTCACCAAGAAGACAGACAGATATCTACAAAAGAACCTATTTAGAAAGAAGACTTGAACTGTTCAATACACCTATTTTCATAGCTTCACACCGATTTAATACAAGAGGAACTTAGTTAAGTATTTCTGTTATAGAATAAAACGCATATGTTCTGGGGAATGCATTAAGAAAGAAATGTGTAAACTGAAACTTCCAATACAAGGAAAAATATATCCGGAGAACTTTCTTAAAAAGTATATGTCGATACCTAGAGATAGGGCAACGCTGGATAGTGTAGATAAGAAACCTTCGTGTCTCTTAAGTTAAGTTACAAAGAGGAGATTGCAGTTGACATTCTAAAATGTCGACTTAACAGAGTAGTTGAGGGAACATTTCCTGCTGCTAAACTGGTACTCAGCTTCTCAACTAAACCAGTAATCACACAACAAGTCAGGGATAAATTACCAAAGATGGCCTCGTCAATGTGTATCTTCGAATTCAACTGCTTATGTGGAGCTGGTTATATCGGCAGTACTCGTACACGTACCTGTATGATTGAATAAAGGGGTAACCAAATGCGTAAAAATAATGCAGTCTTAGCCCACTTGGTAGATACTGGACACTCAATAAAACCAGAGCAGGCGTTCTCAGTTATCTCACTGGTTCTTGGTAATCTGTCTAGAGGAGCTCGACTACGTCTTCTATCAGTAGCTGAAGTGGTAGCAATTAGTATCAGAAGACTGGCTCTTTGTATGCAGAAGAAGTATGTTCAACTGCTATGTTTACCTTTGCCTTCAATAAGGCCAACAAATCCTCCTCCACTCCTCCTATCGGAGTTTATTTGCTTCTTCTCTTTTATTTCGTTGACAAACATTCATTTCTGACCTTTTACAACTTCATGACCTATCTTATGATTTCTTTTACCTTAGGTTTAAGTAATGCTTCTTCTAACTTGTTATCATATTTACAAAGCCCTGTTCATTTCACTTCACTCAATGCATAATTAATGGTTGACAATGATTCTCCAATCGTCCTTTTAAGTTTACCCCTCATCATCGTTATCGTTTGACATTCATTATTCGATCTGCAAAGTGTTCTGTGGTAGATGTTCACCTTCTCGAACTGTATGATTCATTCACATTCACATGGCAATACACACACTTCCTTAGTTACGTGCCCATCAAATATAAAAGGAATGTTGTAAAATGTCTTGCGAGCAGAGCAAGAAAGATATGTACGGATGATATCTTACAAAAGGAATTTGAATATATTCACGATTCCTTGATGGAGATGGGCTATCCGAGTAGTTTCATAAAGAAACATTTGAAAACATCGGAGAAAAAACCGGAGACTCTGACTGCACGTAAGAAACCTCTATTTATTAAGTTACAATTTAATGGTGATTTATCAAGTGAGATACGATTCTGTTCCAAAGACTTTCAAGGAGTATACGAAGAACATTTTATGCAGCACACCTATGTTTGTCATTCTCTGTCCGACGAATGATTGGGACGCAAACGAAGGATAAGCTTGATAGTTTTGCCACATCTATGTGTATTTATCAATTCAATTGCACCTGGGGTGACAGTTATATTGGGCGTACTACTAGACAGCTTAGTCAACTAGTGTGTTAGTGAACATCTCTCATCGTGGTTTGGCAAAGAACAGACAAAAACAATCCGTAGCTCAATTTTGTCACACTTAATTGATAGTGGTCGTGTAATCGAGAAAACGAGAGTCTTCAAAGTAATTCATCGTATCCCACCGAATCTTTCCAATAGACTTCGTATTCGTTTATTGCACACAGCTGAGGCGATAGGCATTTGAACTATTAAACCTAAACTATGTATTCATAAAAAGTTCGTACATAGCCATTATCCCTCACTTGGCCTATTAAGACATAACCAACTGATGACTTCTACACCACCGTTTGTTTATATTTTCAACCCCTTTCTTATCATCCCTTAATCTTATCTTCATTATAAACGTGTTTCATTTCCTTCCCTTACAATCTAACATTACTTAATCGGTCCATTTGTTTTTACTAGTCTTTATCGACTACTTCCATCTGACCAGTTGTTTGTTTAATCATGCTGTTTTTCATTATTCGTGTTATCACAGATTGCCTCACTTTTTCATTCTTAGTATTGATAAGGCCATTATTATTATTATTATTATTATTATTATTATTATTATCATTGCCAATATTATGACTAATTGCACAATTTATATTCACCATCGCATTGTCCTACAGACAAAACAACATGATTGGTTTATATTTGAATTTTTATTTGTAAATTTATATGAATAGTTGAGTTAAGCCTGATGAGATCTAATTGAAAGCACAATATTGTTCGCTGAAATGTGTTGTTCTAAATTCGTACATCGTCAACAAATTTGCATATTATGAATGTAATCTTAGTGGTTGATTCCTTTTTTAAACATTACTTGAAAATATTTCATTCATGTGGTAAATTTAAAAGGAACTACAAGTGTGTGAAAAAAAGGAGTATTTGACACAATCGGTAGGAGTTATCAGCTGAATACTGTAGGAACATTGTTATGTACAGAAATTCCCTTTTAAGGTTAAATACATAGAAAACGATTAACATTGTAGCAACAAGTAAGTATCACGTGTTGGGAGTACTGGCGAGGTATTTCGTCCTAGTTTGGGACTGACTCTTCATCAGTGAGAAGTTGTGATCAGTGTGGTATAGCACTTCGGGTGTGTTGAAAAATACTCGCCACCGATCATATTGGCTAGTTGTCGCGCTATATCGTGAATTGGCATTGCTTCCTAGTAGCTTTAATGGACTACGAGCTCGCTTTGTAACCGGAACGTCCTGGATACAAACCCTGGTGGGTCCATACTGATGACGAGTCTGAAACTAGGCTGACGAAACAGCCGTCCACTACTCTTTGCTTCTCCAATGGTTGTGCAACGGATGTCATGTCATGATGAAATCCCATAACCAAACAAGTATCAATTTGAACAATTATACAATATATATGTTTTATGAGTGATAATCTGTTAACGTCATCTTTAAGTGAGTAATATTCATCAAAGTACATATAGATACGATAATCATATTGAAATACAAGGAACCTTCGTAAAAATAAATAAACAAATTTGCAATATATATAAACCATACAGGACCGTATGTTTGATTTCCCACAAACCGGAAGATATGCAAGCGAAAAGCAACAAGTGGGTAGAAGAAGCATCAAAGATAGGACTTCAGGTGAACATAGATAAAACAGAGGTGATGAAAATTCCTGGGCAACACCACCAACAGCAACAACAACAACTGACAACAATCAGCATAAATGGGAGGAACCTGAAAGAAACAACCTCTTTTACCTACCTGGGAAGAATCGTTTCAACTGCAGGCAGACGGAACTCACGAGGATATCAAAGCAAGAATCGGAAAAGCAAGACAAATTTTCATTACTCTCAAGTCTGTGTGGAGGTCAACAACACTCAGCATGAAAAATAAGATCCGGATTTTCAACTCCAATGTGAAGTCAGTCAGTGCTACTATACGGATCAGAGACTTGCACTGCGCGTCATAGAGGGCATCTCAAACAAAATACAGACCTTCATCAACAGTTGTCTTCGCTCAATACTCAAGATCACATGGCCAGAAAAGATCAGCAACAGGGATCTTTGGGAACGAACCAACCAGGAGCCGATTGTGAAACAAATAGGCAGGAAGAAATGGAACTGGATTGGCCATACCCTGAGGAAACAGTGAATCAAGTGACATCACTAGACAAGCCCTTGAGTGGAACCCGAAGGGGAAGCGGCAAGTTGGTCGTCAGTGCAAGGGTGACCTGGAGGAGGTCATGTGAAGAGGAGATGGAAGCGTGTGGGCAGACTTGGAGCCATGTGAAGACTAGCAGAGAACCGAACGCAATGGAGACGCGTGGCTGAAGCCCTATGTTCCTCTAGGAATTAAAAGAAACATTAATAGTAATAATACAGGACTAAATTACAAGAATAAACATGTCTGGTCTAAACTCACAGGATATTCTGAACACTCCTCACCATTGTACTGTAGAGAAGGAAAGACCGAGGAGACGGGAAGAAATGTTTATTTAGTGAAATGTATTGTACATAGGTACATTTGGTATACCATATTCTCAAACCTCCATTTGCACATCATTTACCACGTCCTTGACGAATTGGTCGAATATCGTCACATTCGATAGCTTCTTGGATTCTGCATCATATGGCAACATTCTTCTCATAGTTCTCTTCTTTGATTGCTCTTTCCAGTGTGCAAAACATACTGTAACTTTTCTGAATTCGCTTTCTGATATACTACTTATATCGGATTATAAGTAGCACTCACCATTGTACCATAACCCCAAGTCATAACGACACAGGTTTCGCTTCATCCTCAACTTCAATTCAATTTTTACATTGTTTTTTATAAAGGCTTTAGAGGAATTATTTCGCTCAACATTAGACTGAACCGATTTTAATTCCTTGTTGATCTCCTCCACCTCAGTAACTAGACGTTTGGCTCTGTTAAGCAGATTCTTGGCCAGTGGTTACTTCAGCGGTAAAGGGATGTGCTGTATTCTAGTCTAGTTATCTGTCCGAATATGTCGACTTTCTGAAGATGTTTATTTTAAGTTGACCATCTGGTTGTCTTTTTATCAAACAGTCCAGGAAAACCCAATCATTTGCGTCTAATTCAACCTCTTCTAAAAACCTAATGGTCCATCCAACATACAATATTTGATTATAACGGAGTAATCATCCACATTCCTGGAGGATTAGAGCATCGCATAATTGCATTTGTTTCTAATGAGTGCATAAATAAACAGATTGGTGACTAGTGGAGATACTGGTGATCCCAATGCAATGGATGCCTTCTGTTTGATGGTGCAGAGCCCTTCAGAATTCTTTTGTAGATAGATGTAAAAACATCAATTTTTATGTCCTTTCTCTATAAGATGTTTGGTAATAGAGGAGCTGGGTCTCCTATTCTCACCATTAATGGGTTCTAAGGATTCTATTTGCTTCTGGAGCCATTTAGAAATATTCTAGGAAGCCAGCTCTTACTTGCAGAGATCGATGAGTCCTCCCTATGTATATGTGTCAACATGTACATTCAAATCGGTAAATACAGTAGGATGTGAAATCATTTTTCGCATGTTCTATGAGCTTAGATGGATATATGGGATTCAAATTCTCAACCATTATGATATTAGCTGCATGAAAAGTCTTTTTGTAACCACAACGTTCAATCTTTGTCTAGTTGTCAAGCTGCTATGACCCACGATATACGGTAGCTTGATGTACACGTCTTTCATAGCGGTGAGTTGGAGAGTGGGTGTCTTGGTGTTCTGTTCTGACTACTTTATATCTCCTAATGAACTTGTCTGGATAATTATTATCAACCACAGTTTGTGTCAATTTCTCCCTTTCTTCCTCATCAAGTGTGTCTTCAGTGCATATCTGTTGGATTCTACTGAAGAGGCACCTCACTCCCTAAGGCTCTTTTGTACTGAACAGGGCAGAAACTGTGGTACTTAATGTTACTACCCTGTTCAGGTAGGTTTTCTATAATAAATAGATCGTTTTATTGACCCATCAAGCCGTCGACTAAGCAATATATCATCTAGGAAAGATAAACAATTATCATCCTGTTCTACAGACGAAGGTGACATGTCATTCTGAACTTCAATTGCTCGATTAAAAATTGAGATGGCAGTACAAGGCCTGTCACTGATAGTTACAATGTTGTCTACATGCCTTCTATAAAGTGTCACATATGTGACACTTTAAATCCTCTGATAAACTCTCAATGTACAACATGTATATATCTGTTAATATTTCTTTCCTGTTCGTCTGTATACGTTAGATGAAAATATTTTTTCTATTTTAAAATAGTTATCGTTATTTTATTTCTTTGTTAAGATAAAATTATTCTTGTTTTTTCTCTTTTTTCTAGATAACCGGTGAAAAAAAGTATTTAGAGCGTGCATTGACTGGTGGAGAAGTCCTCTGGACTCGTGGTCTACTTCATAAAGGTTGTGGTCTATGTCATGGTTCTGCTGGTAGCGGTTTCAGTCTATTGGAAATTTATCAAACTACACATGATCCTAAGTATTTGTATAGAGCTATAAAGGTAAGTAAGTCAATGTTGTTAGGATGGACAAGCTTCTTTTTTTTAACTGTGCAGTTGTGCTTTATGCTGCATGTATTGACACATGAGACAGTCTTATGGGACGGTGTTGATTCGTTTATTTCTGGCTTAATTTTCTGTGGGTTTTCAGTGTCAACCCCCAACCAATCAGAATTGTCTATTTTTATTTTTTATTTATATATTTATTTTTTTGATTACAGCTTGATTCCACACCGTATTTTTTGGTACTTGTACGGAATTTTCAGTATGTGATATCGATAGCCCAAATTTTGCAGGACAACCTTAGATATCAGGTGTGCGTCGGCAGGAGATCGAACCCCTGACCGTGCGCATGGTCGGAGACAGTCATTAGCGCTGTGCCACCGACGCAGGGTTTGTAAATATAATATACCATGTATTTTGTCTGGTACATATTGTAATTGTCGTTCCGGTCGTCATTTATCGCATTCTGACTTTTGTGTCTATCTCAATGGTGGCGGGTGGGATAACTTCAAGTGGTCAGTTAGTGTTATAATCTCGTTATTTGGAGATGCATTCTGGGGAAATCAGTCGACGAGGTTGTGAAGTTACACCGCTGGAGTTGGTTAGGGCATGTGTTACGCATACATTCCTGGTCATCGACCGCCTTCCTCGACGGGCGATGTTAGGATGCAATAGGTTGGAAAAGAGCTAGTAGTGGTGGTCAAAGCAAAATATGGCTTCATCAGTCAATGAAATCCATAACATTTAGTTTAAGCTACACAGACACGTAGGGAGGTGTAGACAGCTGTCTAGCTGGAGTCCTCAGGATGGTAAAATCCACTGGAACCCTATTCAATGGCCATCCCATGAATTCCAACTTCTGGCTATTCGTGGTACATAGTGTAGTCCACTAAGTCAGGTGAGAGGCCAGTTACTCGCGTCGTATATCGCAAATTGGCAGGAGTTGGAGTCTGTGGGTCATTATATCGCGTACCAGTGACAGAATCGTCTACGAGTTCACCTTGTAACTGTGAGGTCCTGAGTTCGAACGCTTGCGGTGGGTGTGCACTACTAAAGAGTCCCAAACTAGAGCTGTCCAGCGACTCATTAATTGATGTCATCTCGTAGCCAAACCTGTAACCAATCAAATTATTTGTCGGAATGGATGACTGAACAGTTTTTGTGGTGTTGAATCCTGTTCATTCATTGTTTTCTCTTACTTCCCAGACTATGTCATTCTCAGTGTGTATGTTGGAAATTTTGTTTTTGTATACTTGAGAGTTCCATTGCGTGTAACAACATGTCGATAATTGTTTTAAACTATGACCACAAATGTGTTTTTGACTGGACACTAGTTAGTAACTAGTGTAATGTATCTAGTACTTTGTTTGATGCAGACTGAATTCCATCAGTCACTTGGCAATATGGCCACCATGCTAGGTGGCTCACTATCATGGTGAACTGTGAATTGTTGGCATTAGATGGTTGGAGGCAATCGGCCACAGGAAGCCTTGCCTAACCTAAGTTTCGTGCTTGTTGACACTCACCAGTCAGCAAGGCGTATCTGCAATCACCTTGAAGGATCTCATGTATCTTCTGTGATTCGAACCCGCGTCACTCACTGCTGCAGTCAGAGATGTTACCACTGAGTCACCTAGCATGGTGGCCACATTGCACTAAAAGAATTCAGTCTGCACCAGAGATAGAGACTAGACACATTACACTAGTTATTGATTAGTGTTCAGTGAAAAATATCCAATACAGTCCTACAGGAGGTCAATCACGAGCCTGCATATATCTCAGTGGTAACGTCTCTGACTGCAGATCTCACTGCGTGACACTGGTTCGAATCTCAGGAGGGGCATGAGTTCTTTCAAGGTGACTGCGGATACGCCTTGCTGCCTAGGTCCAGGCAAGGCTTCCTGCTGACTGCCTCAAACCATCTAATACCACATTTGTGTGTCGGTGGTTTTAGTGGTAAGAGTATTCGCCAACCACGCCGCCACACATACGGTGAGTCCGGGTTCGATTCCTGGCCACCGACCGATTCCGGAAACTCACCTAGCTGACAGTAAACATTGATGGAATGGAAGGTTAAGCGTAAGGCTAGCAGCAACCTCATCTTGTAAAATAACACAAGCTCTACCTACAGAAGACTGAAGCCATATGCTCCACTCGGCGGTCGCAAAGATTTAGAAAAAACTTACACTCACTCATAGAAATTAATGTATATTCTTTAGCCTCGCTGTAGCTCCTGAAATGTTCATATACCTTTTGTGCATATACATGAATAAATTTCGGGTAGAATAAAAGTGTTATACAGTCCTTGTATTGATTATTTTGCTTTCGTTTAATATTATATTTAGTTTGCTGAATGGTGTACTGATTGTTTTAACAATGCTACTCGTGTTGCTGACCGCCCATATTCACTTTTTGAAGGTTGGTTTATTTTTTTTACATTCATATTTATAAATAAGAACAAATTATTGTGCCTATTTCTTTCACATAGGTCATATTTGAGCGTTATTCAACTATTTAGAAATATGTTTTGTTTTAGTTCTTTAAAGAGGTGAAGATACTGACTGACAAAATGGAGAGTCTTCTTAACACCTTCAGGAGCAGCCATCTATCTCCAAATGTTTGGCATGCGATTTGCTCCAGCTGTCAAATTTAAAGTGATGCTACAGGAGTGGACTACATAGATCCCTAGTTTAAAGATAGACAGGAATAAACTGGTTAGTTGAGTGTGTGGACCACTTCACTTATTTGGGGAGTTGTATCAGCCAGCACCATTGGGTTGATAACTGACGAAATCTCAGCGCGGATACAGAAAGCTCGTTTAGTATTATGCTCAGTTACACCATCTCTGTCTGGTTGTCGACCAAAGGACGTGTGTACAGCTCAGCAGCAGTTCGCTGTCCTCTTTTATCGCTGTGAGACATGGACATTGAAAGTGGAACATACGAAAAGGATAGCTGTCTTTGATCATAGGTGTCTGCGTTCTATCTGCCGTGTTAAGTCGTACAATAAAGTGAGTAATATTGATGTTAGGTGTCGGTCGAGTGATAGGTTAGGAGGGGAGATCAATCGACGAGATTGTGAAGTTACACAGGTTGAGATGGTGAGGACACATATGTTACGCATGCCTAGCCATCGATCTCCTTCCTCGACAGGCAGGCAATGCTAGGTGACATAGGATCAGGTTGGAAAAGAGCTATTGGTGGTCACACGAAAACATGATTTCACCAGTGAATAAAATCCGTAACAGTTAGTTTTGAGCCACGTAGAGAGGTGTAGACCTCCTGACTTGTTGGGGTCCTCGAGATGGCTAAAAACCATTAACGGCTGTACACCATTGATGATATGGTTGGAAATCGTTGTTCTCAATGGCTGGCGCAGATGCATCTACTCCTTGTGATTTATCATATCCAATAAAATTCTAATGTTCTTCCATATTACCATTCTTTTTCCTTCACTGACACTTGTGTTTATTATCTCTCTCTCTTTTGAATCTCTCTTTACTCTCTTTTCTTGCTTTTTGTGGTACAAGGAGGGAGTGTGGCAACTGGAACTGGTGTGCACATCTGTTCAAAGTTGTACGTTGAAAGCAGTCAGTCAGTAATTCAGTTTGAGTAATATTCCTATTTGTTAATCGTGGGATTGGGGAAAGCTTCTAAAATGTGTCTATCTATTTGATCTAAAGTAAAACGTGAGAGTTGTGATTGATACTGAATTTCATGTATAATCCCCATGTCCCGTGTGAAGTGGTATAATAGGGTGAGCAGTATTGAGGTTAGGCGTCGGTCGAGTGCTAGGTAAGGAGGGGAAATCAGTCGACGAAGTTCTGTAGTAGTTACATCGACTCACATGGTTAGCACATGCATCCCAAGCCAAGCCACCGACTTCCTCGATGTGCAATGTTAGCTGACTGACATAGAATCAGGTTGGAAAAGAGCCAGTGGTGGTCAAACCAAAACATGGCTTCATCAGTCAATGAAATCCACAACAGGAAGATGTAGACTTCCTGTTTGGGGTCCTCGGGACGGTGAACACCAATGAAGGCTGGAAACAATTGGTGATATGGCTCAAAATCGTTCTCAGTGGTCATTGGAGATGCATCCACTCCTTGTGACTTATAATTTCCAACAAAACTATATTGTTCTTCGTTACTACTATTCTTTTTATTTCATATCTCTGTTTACTGTCTCTATTTTGCATTTCTTTTTACTTTCTTCTCTTGCTTTGTGTGCTACATGGAGCGTGGCAACTCGAACTGCTGCACATCTGTGCAAAGTTGTATGTTGAAACCAGTCAGAGTCAGTGAGTCAGTCAGTCAGTATAATCCCTATTCAGTCAATAATAAAAGGAACAAAACAAGTAGTGTTTCTTCGAAGGGGCTGTTTTCGGCGAATTCATTTTCTCCTTTTAACTATACAAGCGCATTTATATAAATTAAAAGTCAATCTGAACGAAGAATATTCTTTTCAATAATTTCTCTTCAGGTTCTTACAATTATAAAATAGAATATTTGTTGTCGTTACAATAATGATAGGCAGTTATGCGGCGGATACATTTTTAACGTAGAATAACAGATTAGTTATGGGGTGTCAAAATAAACAGTTGTATTTGTGTGACAAACGTGCTAGGCTGAAATCGATTACAAAATATTGTAAAATGGGAGACAATGGTGGCGATTAGTCATAGTAGATTTGTAGAGTGTGGGGTAGGAAAATTGACAAGTCAGTTCAAGGTTATAAAAGGTGTCAGGTGAGTGGCTAGTACAAAGTGGTGTGTATTAAAGAGGAGATAGTAAGACTGCAATGAGAGGTTCATAATGAAATAACGAATGTGTGAAATGAAACAGGTGGAGGCATATATTGAGAAAAGAGATAATATCACTAATAATAAGTCCGGATAGTATAAATGGAAAATTCGATAGTATTGAGGGAATGTTTGCATGAAGGGCATAAATTATGACGAATAATAATAATAATATTTGTAATAATAAGCAAAGAAAAAAACCAAGAGGGTTAAGGGGAAGGAGCACTCTTGGTGAGAAGAAGAATCATCAATCCAAGTTTGGCCACGGTAAGAACAGCGTCTGGACGTGTTCTTTTTGGATACAAAGTTCTGGTTTAGTCGATCTTATTGCAACAGCTTCAGCTATGTGTAGCAGACGTAAGTGAATTGTACGTGATAACGACTTCCGAATTTGGTGTATAACCCTGAAAGCTGTGTTGACATCGATGCGATATCCAGTATCGACCAAGTGTGACAGGATCGAGCTTTTTATGCACTTAATTTCCCCCTCCCTGCTGAACCAAGCTGGTAAATGTTCTCGAACCCGTAGACGAACCTGCCTAATCGTGCGCCCTACATAACTTGAACCACAGGAACAGTTGAAATGGTATAGGCATGAAGAAGAGCTAAGGTTAGGTAAGACATCTTTGAGTTGATGGGTGAACATTGGACGGCTACTGAAGGATAGACACAGACATGCAGAGTAGAAAGTTTTCTTGATCGCCCTGGTTAAGCGTTGAGATAGAATCTCCGCGATCATAATATGGGAATATTCCGCATTTATATAAAATTATTTTTACTCAAGTGTTGGTTTGTAGGGATTTGATTGGTTACAGGATTTTCATCATGAGCTGACATTAGTTAGAGAACTATTGGAATACCAGCTGGGAGTACTGGACATCTGTTTTGTCCTAGTTTGGGACTTTTCATCAGTAAGCACTCACCACAGGGGTTCGAACCCAGGACCTTCTGGTTACAAGGCAAGCTAGCTCGTAGACCATTGAGCCACTGGGACCCGATCCAATGGCCAGTGCATGAATTCTAACTTCTGCCAATTGACGACATAGCACGACCTCTAGCCAATGTCTTTGGCGAGTATTTGTCCTCACACCCGACGTGCTGCACCCAACTGGTCTCGACTTCCCATGATGAAAATTATTTTTATTTACGAAAGAGGCTAGTAACAAAATTGATAAGTTGTCATAATCATAATTGTTGTTAGTATTATTCAGTGCATAGTAGGAGTTTGAATAAGAGTGTTAGAGGAGTTATTTGAGAGATGAATAATTGAATGAATTTGAGTTGTAATCAGGATGAACACATAGAGAAACCAAGGCAGATATAGTGGAACTACATAAGTGTTCGAAAGAAATACAAAAGTTGTAGAGTCACCATGGTAGCAGAATTAACTGTGAACAATTTTCTTTTGTATATGAAATCTCCGATTTCACCATCTAAATGACTAGAGCTTCACCAATACAAAGGATATGAGAGCGTATTGTCTTTGGCAGGCGGTTATTCACTGTGTAAATTACTTTGAACAAGGAGATTCTTGGGATAGAATGGCCCGCGTTGACTAGGTGCACAGTTATCTTACTCCTTATTATAGGGCTGCGGTTGCTTTTCTACAACCAGACAGCTCTATAAGGAGTGCGACAATTGAACACATTATCAACACTGATTATTCTGTCTGTCTCAACGAACTCCTCTTCCTTTTAAAGTAGTCTACAAAGTGACCAACAATCTGCTAAAGATAATACACTTTTGTATACAAAAGAAAATTATTCGCAGCCACTTCTACTACCATCACGACAGTAATAACACCCTTGTTGATTTCTATCAACTTCCTTCTTTCTCCTTATATTGTGTTGTAACGACAGAAGACAAGGGTCAGGCAACAGATCGTTTTTTTTGAGAAAATCAACAAATATAGATTTTTATGTACATTATTATTCGTTATTTTAGCAGAGAGGTAACGTCTTCTGATTGGTTGTTTTCCTGCTGAAGGTTATTCTGTCATCTCTTTGTTGACGTTTCTTAGACAGTCCGTTGATATATATATCTGCTAATTGTATCCGCCCACGCTAAGTTTGCTGTGATTGGTTGTTGAGTTAGTCTTTGTTCTGGCAATTAATAGTGTTCTCTGAGCTGGTTGGTTTGGTTGCGGAGCTTTCGTCGTCCACCTTGTAGACAACATCTTCAGTGCAATTTTTAGCATAAAGTGAAATGATTTAAATTTCTTCATCAGTGATATAATTGAGTCTCCCGGTAACCATCTTTACATATGCATCGACCATTTTCTATTGACTTGGATTTTAAACTTTCTGGTCACCTGATTTACTTTTTATTAGTTGGTATATTTCGTCTATATTAACGTGTGTGTTAATTGACTTTTCGTTTGAGTACCAGGCTTCTAGGAATTCCCTGGCACGCATCCAACAGAAAAAGGAGATAAAATTAATACCATTTACAAAATAATTTGTATGAGGTGTAACAAGCATTGTATCGGGCAAAGTGGGCGTCCCCTTCGAATCAGAATCCAGGAACACAAATCAGCCGTGAAAAGACACGATATATATTCTTTAATATCAATGCATATAGACAATTATGGACATCAGTTTGATTGGGATAATGTCAAA